CCTAGTAAACAAGGATAAATAATTTAATGATACTCTACCAAGATCTTATAACTTTTTTTCAAAATTCAGATTAAATATGTTTCGTTAACTGCCCACGTTATGTTGCATTAAAATGATTGATAAAGAGATTAATCCTATTAAGTTGGGCAATTTTCACAAACATAAAATACCATAAAGTACGATTAGATTTAAAATTAAACCTTAAAATAGTTTACTTATGTTTATTTTGTATTCGTGTAGAGTCAATATATAATAATTGTTCCATCCTGGTATAAATAGCACGAAGTTCATTTTAGTAAAAGCTTTGACGAAGGTTTGGCCAAATTGTAATGTAATTTTCTTGTAAATTGAGAGATTCCTGTTAAACGACTCTATTTCATTAAAAATCGTAAAAAGACCACTAACTTTCTAAAAATTTATAAATTCTAAGGTTTAATTTAATTGAGACTTAACATGTGTTTGTTAATGATATTTAATTATATGCATATATAAAGTAGGTGAAAGATATACAAAATAAAAATAATGCTCATATACATGGGGGGTATATGAGAAAATTAAAAATTCAACAAACATCTTTTTAGTGACATGTAACTTCAAAAATTTTCATCTTAAAAACTAATTTACATGCACGACAATTTCGTATAGGGTTATTAATTAATTATGTGTTAAAATAAACAAACATATTCAATAATATAAAGCTAAATTTAAAGTACTTTTAGTAATGTCAATGATGCAAACATTTTTTCTAGTCAACTGAATATTTACGTTTTGTTCACCGATAAAAGTATTTACCTAGTAAGCTCCAAGAGCTCAAGTATCTAAAAATGCCAATAGTTCGAGTTGAATGATCTAATTTTTCTTTATGTTGGCCTCTATTTAGAAAATATCTACTCTAATATTCTAAAAGTTCATAGAAATGGATTCTAGGTGAATATCATATCCGTTATCTACTTTAGTTATATTTTCTCATCGCTTAATTTTTTTTTCCATTTTCCATTGTATAACTAACTGTTTGTTAACATAATCTTTTTAAAATGGCAAGTGTAGAATGCTGACAATTCAAAAAAAAAAAAAAAAAAACTTTGCGATTTCCTTCTACTCAAATTCTTTCGACTTTCAGTTATTGCGCGCAGTAGGAAATCTACGAGTATAAAATAAAAATATCTAATTTATAAAAATAATTGTTTTCGTGTTTTAAACGGAGCGGCGGGGGGGGGGGGGGATTTTTTTTTTTTTGTAATTTTTTTGGGAGGTTTTTTTTTTTTTTTTTTTTTTTTTTTTTTATTTTTTTTTTGTTTATAAAACAAGATTATTACTAAATGTTGGAAGAAAAAAAAAGAAAAATATGGTAGTAAATGTTTATTCAATTTATGTTTCGTAAATTAATTTTGCAATTTAATTCTGTAAATAGGCCAATAATTCCCCCAACCACCGTAACATTTAAGAAACTAACGCAAAAGAGCACCGTTAAGAATCTACTTTTATGTTTCAAAAAAGAAGGTCACATTTTGTACATTACTATAATTTTCGTTAAAACTCAATTCCTAAAGTATAAAGAAGAGAGCAGGATTTGTAGTTACTAAAATGCTGGGTATTACACGAGTACATTTTAAATGGATCACTAATCTTACTTGATTTTCATTTTACTCACGAGCGTCAATCCTGACATTAATATTCCACTAACTTTGCAAGAATGAACAATTATTCATGAAACAAAGAAGGGATTGATTCCACCTGCAACAAAGTCCGCTCGTTCTCAAGTTTGATTTCAAAAAATAATCTTTAAGAGCATCGCGACTTTAAGTCACAAAATTAATCCGTCTCGGATAAAAAATACTTTGCGACATCAGTGATTATGCGTCGATAGTAAACTTTTTTGGGTTCATGTAAAAAGCTACTGTAAATAGGTGTGGAGGGCTATTCCTTATAGTACACAGCTCAAGTATTTGAGAGTAAAGACTGCTTTCGTGCTTTCTCGCTTTCTTGTTTGCTCTCTCTCTCTCTCTCTCTCTCTCTCTCTCACTCTCCTATTCTCTCGGTGTTCTATTTTTCGGTAGGTAGGAGAAGTAGCATCATTTAAAGTAGGTGACTGTCCGTCATATACTCATCACCCGTGATTTATATTGTGAACTGTCGAAGATCGAGGACGAAAGAGAGAAAAAAACTACTCCTGTTACTGTTGCACAGAATGGAGGCTTTTTATTGTCTACGGTTCACTTTTATCATCCTTTCTATTCTACATTTTCCTCCTTTATTCACCATCCCTTTTTATTATTCCATATTTTTTCTTATCCCTCGACTGTCGATTTCTATTAATTTACAACTATATAAATTATATATTTTATTCTTTGTTTCGTTTTACATTCCAATTATGCTGGCAATTCGAAAAAAATATTTCGATATTATATAAAAGAATGATTTTTTCCCCATATTCTATTTATGTTTGTGTGTGTTTGTTTGTTTGTTTGTTTGTTTGTGTGTGCGTGTGCGTGTGTGTGTGTGTGTGTGTGTCTGTATTTTTTCAATCTAAAATGTTGTTGTATTAGATATTTATTTATTTTCTGAGCAATCACTTATTCTCTTAGGGTAATTTTATTTTAATTCCTTTTAATTAGATTAAAAGGCTGGCAAGTTAAAGAAAAATCCAATATGCCTTTAACGTTCGAGAAAGTTTAAGGAAATCGAAGATGCCGTATATTTTTAATTCTTATCTTCGCTACATGGAAAAATCGTAGAAACGGCATTTGATTATGTTACAGGATAATGTACCTTTCAGTCCGCTTATTCAAAAGCAATGATATAATTTGTATTTTTCCTGACTCGTGACCTCGTCTATATCACAACAGCTTGTATAAATATACGACTTGGAGTTCCCAATGAATATGACGAAGAATCGCACTATCCATTCGACAATGCCCCAAGTTAAAAGAATTCAAGGTATTCTTTGCCTTAGAATATTTCAAGTATACGGAATCGATTCACCACCACTAGCGTTATACGCATGAAAATCAATAATTATGTGTACTTATATTCCTACGACGAGCCTGTCAAAATATAGATTTCTTTTAGCTCGACGATGAGCTCGAACGCGCTTGACAACTCGACATCATAAATTATTCCAAGCTAAAAGCATCCTTCGTTCCACGCAATCAAGAGGCCGGCTGAGCTATCCGGGTAGAACGGGGAAATCGAAGCCTCGCGTTAACGGCCCACGCATCGAGCAATCGCCGTTGCCCGACCAAAGACGTAAAAGAACGATTCCGACCCCTTGCGCACACATCGAGCCCGTGCCAAGGCAGGCGCAAAAACACAATTAGACGGCTGTGGAGTGTTGGGGAAGGGGGTCGGGGGGAGGGAGCGAGAAGGGTGAGTCGCCCGGATCGAAATTAAATGGGAAATTGTGCCGCGGCGCTGGGCTCGGTGTACGTGCGCAAGCGACACCCAGGAGGCACGTAAAGTGGTGCTTGCCCGGTGATGCTCGCGCGCAGGGCCCTCGTTAGCGAGGTCGGGCAGCGCACTTCGCCGGACTAAAAAAAAAAAAATATAAGAAAAGGTGGAAAGAAAGAGGGAGGAAATAAGTCCAACGGCAAATTAACACTCGAGAGTTTCTTTCTCTCGTCGTATTTGTTCTCCCGGCGTCAAATTCAACCTACTCAGTATGTATTTCGAATGTATTCTGGGAGAGATAAGGTGGGCTTTTTATAGCGCTCATCCACATGGTGTAAATGGACGAAAAATGTGAGTACATATACAGTCGAAGGTGTTGTTGGCGAACAACGGATGAAAAGATTTCTTATTAAAATTTGATTCGAGCTTTTCGAAGGGAATTCTCAACGACTTGCCTATAAGGTGTACCCTACCTTTTTTTATTAATTTCTTAAACACGGCTCATGTCGTTAAAGTAGTATTTTATTATTATATTGATGACGAGTCTTTGTTGGTTTTGTGTATTGAAAAATGAAGCTGAGATAATTTTATGTTCATGCAATAGTCGGAATTTGAAGGGAAAAAGTGTGCTTCGTCCTTAATGAGTAATCTGTAAAGTGGCGTTGATGTGATCAACATTAACAGTTAAACGTTAGATAAACCTTAGTATATATTCGCGAAATAATTTTTTTTTTTTTTTGCATATGTGTATATAATACATAAATTAATATTAAGAGATAACATATTTTTTTTATAAAACTTTAGAGGACTATAGGTAACATTTGCAAAGCCATACGCACAGAGTACTATCATTTTTAAATTGTTAAGAAATATTAATAATAAAAGATATATCGACAGTCTTATATACATTCGTAACACATATTTTTATCCTTATACCCTTATCAAAGTTTGTAATTCTTAAATAATTAAAGTGAAAATAAAATACAGTACAAATAGTTTAAAAGTTCTTTTTGTCATATTCATCAGGACACTGTCATTTAACACCACTGATTAATAATAAATAATTTAAAAAACATTCACAATTACAATTTAGAAAAAATGTATGCCCACTTATTAATATATTCAGTTAAATAGTATTTGATACTTATAATTTATCTAGTCATAAATAAGAAGTTTATTTTATAAAACAGTGAATAAATTATTAACTCTGCAAATAATATTACCTATTTTTAACTATAAAAGTTGTATGACACACACAAACGTAAATACAGCTATCTGTTTTTATGGCTTAAATTATATATTAAACAATTCTACTCGATCCCCCACCCCACTCTCATATTTGTCAATAATTCCAATTTGACGAACGGCCTGAATTTTTTTTTGTCTCTTAAGGCTTTACTCTTAAGGCAATATCAAGGCGCGTAATTTTTTTTTTTAAACAACTTTTAACGGCGCGTATCAATATGTTATGTACTATTTAAATTTATTTGTAAATATATACTACTATCGTGTGACTTAGGCTAACGCCATAGTAAATCAATCGCAATAATGGTAAGATTTAAATTTAAAAATTCCTACACCTGTTATTACCTCCACTGCACTTTTGCCCCTCGCGTGAAAAAATTCTCTCTGCGTGTGTTCAATAATTGTGCATTTTAAAATGTATAGGTATCCTTGGGAGTAAATCGTGAGATTTAAATCTGAAATTCAAATGATTTATCGCCGTGCCACTTTCTATTTATTCGATCTTAAAAATTCCCTTCAAAAAGCGATTTGGTGTCGTACCTTGACATCGTTACAACACGATGTGCCGAGTGTTCGACAAGGAGATGACAAGTAATAACAGGACTCACCTGGACGTCAAAGTGACCGGTCGTGTCCTGAGGCTGGGGCGGGCCCTGCTGCTGTTGTTGCTGCTGCTGGGATGGTGGTGGGCCCTGGGGTGGACCTTGGGCCCCGAAAAGCTGAGCCGCGTGGGAGTGTGGGTGCTGCAGATGATGAGTCGGCGGCGCCTGGTGATGTTGCAAATGGTGGGGCGGCGCCGGGGCGAAGGCGGTCATGAAATGTTCCTCACCACCACCCATCACGTCCACGCCAGGTTTCAGGAGGACGACGCCACCGGCGCCCGTACTCACAGCTAAGGTCGCATTCTTCTGAAATTCCTCCTCGCCGGGCGATGGCTGCCTACTGCCCGGTGTACGGCTGTAAAAATATAAAATCACGAAATATTAGATACTTTGCGATGTATTTTTATACGATATGGCGGTTGGGGAAGGGGTGGGGGAGTATACCGCGTCCTCGCTTGATAATGAATTTCGATGTATTTTATCGGAAAGTTGCGCGAAAATTTTACAGTGCACTATTGACGATGAGCCGTTGAGCATAAATTTTGTAATAAGATAAACCTTGAAATTGGATGCGCGCAAGCCTATATATGGGTAATGAAAGCTTTGTCGACTCTACACTTTTACACACAACCACTAATTCATATTCACAGTGTACTATGATTAGCTATTATAATTTTTTAATTGTCTTCTCTCTTTGGTTTGAGTTTTATTCTTCAAAATTACTATTGCACCGACTAAGTGGACTTTACAATGAAACAATTTTTAATACGAATTTAATTACTGTAATAAAATAATTCGAATTGAAAATAAATTATATATATATATATATATTTATTAGCACACACTTCGAAATATTCACGTAATATGTAAGAAAATTCAATGTATTTTTATTTTTTATGAATGTTTGGAGTTTTAAAGTATCAAGCCATACACATTAATCTTATCAAATATTAGCATTAATGCACTTTAATGATTAATCTCATTTAATAATGCATTACGAATTTCCACAAAGCCAAGTAAAAAATGAAAAGTTTGATAATATGTAACGATTTTCTTATGAATGTTTTGATGAGAAAAGGCAATCGAGTCGAGCAAATTTTGTTTAATTTGGTCGAATAATTTTTTATGAAGAAACGATTCACTCCAACGATCCATGAAACGCGATGGCTTCGACACCTCTAAAAATGTATACGAATACTAACTCCGAGGAAATAACAGATTTCCTGCCATAATAATCGATGATCTGTGTCATTCTTACGAATTCAAATGGCTGGAGGTAATTTTTAATTCTATGAACAAAGCTTCTTAGTCGCTACTAGTCTTGATTATCTTAAAAATTGTATTTAAATTATACTTAATTAAACATGATAATATATATATATATATATTCCCAATTTATCCGTTATATTTCTATTTAATTTTTAATTAGTGGCTTGGAAGATTTATCAGATATTGATTTAATGATACAAGTTGGTTTTTTTTATTTGTTTTTAAAGAGAAGGCAATATGTTGATTTAAATTTTAAATAACCATAATAATCTGATAAAACAATGCATAAAGGTAATATAATTATCTACCAAGATTTTCATTTCTAATGGATGGTAAATTAAAGTACATAATATCTATTTAAATTTCATTCTTTGCTAGTAGTAGTAGTCTCCTATATTTACCAGATTTCTAAAGTTATTTATATCTATATAAACGCATATTATCCTGAAATGCTCATCAAGTATAAGAAAACACGCGTGTTAAATTGATAGCTCCAAGCCATTATCATATAATGTAAATGTTTTATCCGATTGTGTCGTAGAGTGAGTTTAACGAATTTTATGCATATACAATAGCCTCAGTTTAAAGTTGAACACCTGATACAAATACTTTAAACAAACTTTCTATATTTTTTTACAAACCCAAGATTTAATGGAAAGCGTGATTGTCATTAGTGGTAAGCCCGTGTATTGTCTTTTTTTTTTGTTTTCTTTTTTTTGTTTTTTTTTTTTGTTTGTACAATCTTTAAAAGAAAAAATGAAGGGAAGAGGGAAAGAAAGAAGGTAAGAACGATAAGAAAAATAAGAAAAAATAAGATAACGACGGCAGAGAGCGAAAACCAAAAAGGCAAATGAACAATCGCGCTGGATTTTGTGCATCGTAATAACGGTGAGACCCGTTAGTGTACCGCAAGGCGCTCGTCTCCAGTTCGCGTAATAACGATGTAAAGGAGAGCAGACAGTTGCGAGAGCGGCCAACGCAACCTCCAGCGAGTAATGTTTCTTCTCGGCCATAAGTAGCGTTTGTGGCGAGCGAGTTGTACCTTTCTAAAGCGACGAAGTCTTCCACGCGGCTCTCCTGCCTATTTTTTTTTTTCACCGCCTGCCTCTGCCCCGAAGTATGAAAAATTTCTAATTTCTCTGGAGCGGGCTTGGAAAGACGGGGCCCGTTAACTTTAATTAAATTAATTAAATATTTGTTCTTGAGACTCGTGGATTGATGGAGGAAATGGGATTTATTGGGAAGCGTAATCATTACTGGTCTACAGCGGCGGTATAATTTGTCGCGATAGGTGACAGTGCCATGGGCGTTAAATTTAACCGACCATGCTCGAAGAATGTTTTATTCATAATAAAACAAAGTTCCCGCAATGTAGCTTATCTAATTTTGCTTTCGGAATTACTTTACGGGCAGCCTTATTTTATAAGTAGAGAGCTTAAGTCTTAGAAAGTGTTGAATAAAAAACTGCAGTACATTTCACTACGATTCGGCACGGTTGTATAGATACAAATATATATATATATATATATATATATATATATATACATTTCGAGGCTCGCGTTTATATCAATATGTTTAGCGACAGCAATTCGAATAATTGATACGAGCTATGTATACATATAAATCTGATACCTCGCGACGATAATATTGAATGGATTGAATAAAAGGAAAATACGTGCGCACATTTAACGATCGCAGCAACCATGAGGTGCCTATAACCGATTGAATTTTTAAAAAATTAAACACAAATCCAGCGACTTTACGTAATAAAATTTGCGCTCAATTAAAAAAGTGCCGACGAGTGATACGCCCGTGCCATTGCTAATCGCGCGGGTTCGTTGGACTAATCACCGCGATTCGACTTTATTACGATTTTTTCTCGACTTTTAAAAGCACTCGGAATCGGAAGCCTTGACCGGCCGCCACAAGTAAAGATAGCCGCCCCCCATGCACAGCACAAGTCGACGTGGTGTAAAAATCCAAGCCGCGCAGCATAGATCCCGCGCCGGTAATC